ACACCACTTCCTCCTTGAAGCCTTCAAGACCCCCGGTCAAAAGAGATGTCTTCTTCCTCATGGTCTCAAAGTGCTCTGCCTGCGGGGACGTCATTTTGGCAGGACCACTCTGCCTTGTTCCCATGTGTCTGAGTCCCCTGCTCACCCAGCAGCCCCTCGAGGCCAAAGCCCGAGTGTCGGGGTTTCCCAGGTACCCTCAGCCCTCCCGGGCCCATCGGCGCAAATGACACCTCTTCCAAGAAGCCCTTCCTGAAGCAGATCCGCTTTTTGATCTCGATGGTTGCACCTTTCTTTACCCCTTTACCCATCACAGTCTGCAACGAGTTCTCTTATTTGTTCATTAACTTTTTCCCCCGTCTTCCCCATCTCCCCACAAACTCTAGGAGGAGTGTCCGTCTTGTTCATTTCTGAATTCACCCCCACCGGTACGTGCCTGGCTTATAGTGGCACTCAAGACATGCGTGGTGAATGACGCGCTTCCCCCAGCCCTACCCTCTCCCGCGGTGCCCTGCACACAGCAGGCACCGGAGGAACTTGGTCAGATGGAGTCGGTTTAGCCCGTAGCTGTGTAAAGCACTGACGGCGTCAGGAACTCGTACCAAGCCATCAGCGTCCACCCCTGGGACGGTGGCCACTGCCCACGAGGACCACTCCACTCCCCATCTGCCGAGGAGACTTGGTCCAGCCTCATTTTCTCTAATTTATACGAGCAAAGTGATAGATTTTTTTCCTATCAAATTATGTCTCAATATTAAGTGGACCTTTTCAAACCTCACCCTCTTAGAGATTCTGCCAATGCCCCCCACTTAGTACGGGCGCTCCCCGGGGTGGTGTTGGGGCTGGGCTGCCGTCATCCCTTTGGCCTCGGGTCCCAGCTCGGCCTAGCCAAGGGTGTGTTATCACATCGAATATCTGAGCTAATGGTCCCATTACAGAATCGCCAGGGCTGCTTGTTTAAAAATGCTGATTCTTGGCCACACCACCAGACCGGGGGAAAGGTCCGAGCCAGACCCAGGAGCCTACATTTTAACCAACTTGCCAAGCGATTCTGACCCGCAGTCAAGGCTGAGCATCCTTAAGCAAGGCGATGAGAACGCGGCTGGCCGACCACTCAGATGGGAGTTGTAATCGCCACTCCTGCACGTCCCAGGCTGGCAGGGCCGGTGCCTGTGGGGCTTGGCTGGAGCAGCCCCACATCTGGGTGGCTGCAGCACAGCTCATAGCAGCAGCTGGTGTCCTTCTGGGCTCCCTGAGCTCATTAATCACACCCCGACTGGCCCCCATTCACACCCAGGCCAGCTGGGCAGGGCCTGGGCCGTCAGGTCCGGGGGAAGATGGGAGCGGAAGGGAGCCAGGACTGGGCTCGTCCTGCCCAGCATCACCTCGCACCCTCACGACTTGCAGGGAGAGGCTCTGACTCTGAGAACCTGCCTGTGACAGGCAACCTCTGAGACGGCCCCAGTGACCGCACCTCCTGGAATTCCCACCCTGTGTCATTCCTGCCCTGGGGTGTGTACAGAATTTGGTGACTTGCTTTTAACGAAGTGAATATGGCAGAAGTGATGAGATGTCATTTCTGAAATCAGGTTATAAAAAGACTGTGGCTTCTGTCTTGGGTGCTTCCCCATGTTCTCTCTTGGCTGTCGCACTCTGGGGGAAGTCGTTGCATGTGTGAGAAGCCCACGTGGTGAGGGACAGAGGCTGCCAACAACCTGGAGTGAGCCTGGAAGCAGATCCCTCCCCTGTCAAGCCTGCAGATGAAACCGCAGCCCAGCCAACACCTTGACTGTGACCTCATGAGCCCAAGGCACCCAGCTGAGCCACAGCTGGGTTCCTGACCCTCAGAAACTTTGAGATAATAGGTGTTTGTTGTTTTAAACTGCTAAGTCTTGGGGTAGTTTGTTACGCAGCAATAGGTAACTAATACACCTCCTCACCTGAGCACCCCTCCAGTGACAGTTCTTCCTACACCCCTCCACGCGCCCTTAGCCACGGCCATACCAAACCTGCCTCCCTAAGGAGCCAAGCTGATTCACGTCCCCAGGCCTTTATTCACGCAGATCCATCCTCCAGAAGTCCTGGGCCACCTACCCAACATAACCCTCTCCCAAGACTCAGCCCCATTGTCACCACCTCTGTGAAGCCTTCTGTCCTCTGTGCCCACCGCAGCCTGAGCAGTTCCTATTGACACAACTCTAATTACGCCACCACCTTTGTTCATGGACAGGTCGCCTCCCTGCCCTAGACCCTGAGCTCCAGAAGGCAGGGCCACAGCCCGACCCTTCTCTGTAGTACCTCGTGCTCGGCACAAAGTCTGACGTAGAGCAAGCTCTGTAGAAGTGTGACGCTGGATAAACAACTGACAGCGAGTGGCTGGTTTCCCATTTGCTTGTTCTGTCCCCCACACCCTGTCTCGCCACTGCTATCTTCGAAGGCTGTGCGCTTTCATACTCAAGGATACGAAACCAAAGTCGTTATCTTCCCCAAGAAACCAGCCCTTTCCCCTAATTTCCCCATTTTATTCCCAGAACCATCACCTCCCTGCAAGCCGGAATTCCCTGTTATCCCTGACTCCTCCCCCTCCTCCCTTTCTGACCCCTCGTCACATCCCATCCCCCTCACTGGCAACACAGCCCTCCATCACAGCCCTCTTCTCCTCCGGCGCCGTGGGCGCCCCAGTCCAGGCTGCTATCCCCTCTTGAGATCCTTGCAGCGGCTTCCCTACAGGCCCCTGCCTTCTGGCACCCCGCTCATCCTCTCAGGGATCTTAAAAACGCTGCCTTGCTTGTCTTAAAGGGCTGGAGGAAGGAGCCACAGAGATGGCAGATGTGACAAGCATTTTATCAGGCGAGGATCACTGCAACCATCCCCAGGCTGAGCTCTCACTGGCTCTGTGGGGCCGTGGAATAGAGTCCAGACTCCTAGCCTGGCATTGGAGGCGCCCCAGCATCCGCCCCCAGCCTCTGATTCCAATGGGGAATGAGGAGGAAGCAGCACATGTAGGTTTCAGGTCCCCTGTGCCACTGCCACCATCAGGCTCGCGCTGAGGACCTGCCACAGGCTGGGCTTTGCACGCACCAGCTCATGCCGTTAACATCTACGGCACTGCCTGAGCACTGGGAACCATCACGAGTACTGTGCATGTCTATAGCTCTTGCCTACTCGCACACCCTGTGGAAAAGCGTTTCACACTTGGCCGAGCTCATACAGCTGGGAACTGGCAGGGCTGAGATTTGAACCCAGGTCTATCTACCTTCATGGCCTTCATACCAACACATGGCACCTCTCATAAACTTCTTAGGTTTACACACCACCTTCACGATTCTTTGCATATTCAAACACCACCTGTATTACTTTTTTTTTTTTTTTAATATTTGTCCTTAAATTAGCTATGGGGCATGGTGGTTCGGAGGGGGAGCTTTGGACCCACACTACCTGGGCGAGAATCCCAGATGCTTTCCTGACTTTCTGCAAGAGTTCTCTGAGCCTCAACTTCTTCACATATAAAACAGTGCTTTCCCTCGTGGGGTTCTTGTGGGGATTAAGTGAGTTAAGTCATAGAAGTGCTCAGCACACCGTCCAAGTGCCAGCCACGAGGCCCGGCTCCCAGTAAAGCGGCACTTCCCCATTTCCTGGCATTGGAAGTGACCATGTGACTTGCTTTGGCCATTCCAGGTAGAAGCTGTAGAACCAGTAAACACTGTCACACTCTTTCCTTCTTTCTGCCTCAATAGCAATACTCCAAGTGGTGGTTCTCTATCTGCTCAGCTCCCAAAGGGAAGAGTCCCAAGTTGACCCACGTTGGACATGTAGCATTATATTGAGAAGCAAATATTTTATTGTTTTGTCACTTCAGCAGAGCCTAGCCTATACTGACTAATGGAGTAAAAGCTCAAAAAATGTTAACTTATTAACATATATACATATATTTTTTTAAAGACAGGGTCTCGCTCTGTCGCCCAGGCTGGAGTGCAAGGACATGATCATAGCTCCCTGCAGCCTCAAACTCCTGAGCTCAAGTGATCTTCCTGCCTCAGCTTCCTGAGTAGCTGGGACTACAGGTGCATACTACCATACTACCTGGCTAAGTTTTAATTTTTTTTTTTTATTTTGTAGAGACGGCGTCTCACTATGTTGCCCAGGCTGGCCTCCAACTCCTGGCCTCAAGAGAACCTCCTGCCTTGGCCTATCAAAGTTCTGGGATTATAGGCATGAGCCACTGTGCCTGGTCTATAAACGTTATTTATTATGACATACATTTTGTTAAAAAGGGAACATATCACTTTTGTTAAGTGAAGAAAAAAATGCTACTTGACATTATGAATAATCATATAATATTAAAATGAAGAACCTTTATCCTACACCAACCCCAATCATCTGGCATACCACCTGCACCACGTACATGGATCATCATTCAGGAAGTGTTAACCAAGTGCTACCCTCTAAGACTGCGGTCCCCAATGCCCGGGCCGTGGACTGGTGCTGGTCCATGGCCCGTCAGGAACCAGGCCGCGCAGCAGTCGGTGAGAGACAGGTGAGCAAAGCTGTACAGCTTCAAAGCTTCACCTGTATTTACAGCCACTCCCCGTCACTCGCATCACCGCCTGAGCTCTGCCTCCCATCAGGTCAGCGGCGGCGGCGTTAGATTCTGCACTATGGTGAGTAGTATGATTATTTCATTATATATTATAATGTAATAATAATAGAAATAAAGTGCACAATAAATACATTATGCTTGAATCATCCCGAAACCATCCCCCACCAGACCGGTCCATGGAAAAATTGTCTTCCATGAAACTGGTCCCTGGTGCCAAAATGTTGGGGAGTGCTGCTCTAAGAAGCTGACCAGTGGTTGCAGGTTTGGAAACCCTGGCCCCAGAGAGCCCCAAGGTCAGCTCCAGGGCTTCGCCCTTGCCAGCCTGAGCTCCCGCTACCAGGCTCCACTCTGCAGCCAAGACCACCCTGCATTTGCAGGGGCGCCTGCCCCGCCGCGGCCTTACCTCGGCAGACGGTGCCATTCTCCACGGCCTCGAAGCCCGCTTTGCACATGCAGCGCCCAATGGGCACCAGCCACTCGCCGTCCCCGTTACAGTAGAGCTTGATGGGCACGTCCACCTCCTCAGCGTTGGCAATGCAGCTGCCCCGCGCAGCCACCAGCGATGTGCTCTCAGCCCCGGACAGTGTCTCCTGGAAGATGGCGCCGTTCTGGATGATGCGGGGGCACTTGCGGTAGAAGACACGCACGGCGATGAGGGACATGCAGCCGCCATAGTCCTGGAAGGCCAGGTAAAAGCCGCTGCGGGACACCGGTCCGAAGCTCCGCACCTCGGTGTTGATCTTCATGACGCGGCCCCCCAGGTCCACCTGGGAGAAGCTCTCGTCGGCCGCAATGGTGTCCACCTTCACCCACGGATTCTCCATCCAGTTGGGGAAGGTCTTGGTGGCGGAGTCAAAGTCAGCCTCATAGTAGTACAGGTTGAAGGTCTCTTTGCAGGAGCCGGGCACGCTGGGGATGCTGCTGCAGTCGCGCACCGAGAACTTCATCTCCACGTGGATGCGGTGGGCGCCGCGGCGCCGGATGAACTTGGTCCGCAGCCAGTTGTTCTGGCTTGACTCAAACACGTTGCACACCTGGTACGTGCGGATCGTGTTCATGTTCTCATCGTAGCCGCTCACCTCTTCCCACTGCGGGTGAAATGCTAGTCAGCTGGGGGAGGTGAGGGCTCAGCCCCAGCGCACGCCCTGTCTGAGGGGGAAGACACAGACTCTGCCTCGGGGAATCCTCTGGTCTGAGGATGAAGACATCAAAGAATTCCCAGTCTGATGGGGGAGACGTGGCCTTGGCCCTGAGGAATCCCCCAGTCTATAAGGGTAACAGCCCGATCTGAAGGGAAAGGCATACGCCCTGCTCTTGGTGCCCCCCTAGTCTATACGGGAGATGTGGCCTTATTGTCAAGGGTTCACTAATCCGATAAAGGAGACGTGGACCCTGACCTGGGAGGGAAAATGGGGACCACCTTGCCCTTAGGGAGCTCCTTCTGATGAGAGTAGACACAGCTTGTGCTGGGGGGCTACCAGTCTGACGGGGGAGACAGAACTTGAGGGAACTCCCTGTCTGATGGAGGAAGGCAGTCCTCCCCCACCCCACCCCCCAAACTCCCAGGGTGGTGGGAACACAGGGCCCTTCCCGGGAGAGCAGCTCTGTGCTGAGGCTTTCAACTGCCAAGATCTCCCCTCCCGTACCTGGAGGGAGACTGCCCACCCTCCTTTCCTGCACAGGGTGCTTCAGCACCCTCGGGGGTCCCAGCCTGTGCTCTCAAACACCCAGATGAGCGCTGCCAAGCCGCACTGCTGGAGGGGGCTGGGCTAGATGGTGGAAGGTTCGGGCGGGAAGGGTGCAGAGCCCGTGTTATCTCCTCCCAGACTCTCGAGGCCAAGCTCATTCTCACTGCTGAGCCTTTGTTCCCACTCTCGTGCCCTGCTCGCGCACCTGCACCCTCTTGTCTTCTCCGCAGCAGGCTCTCGCTGCGGCTGCCTGCTCTTGGCACTCTCTGACTTTCCCTTGGGCCGTTGGGGAAGGCCCTGTGTGTCCCCTTTGATGTTGGGTTGGCGTCACTTGGGGTAGACGCAAAGGAGCCCAAAAGCAGAGTACCCCCCACCCCCGTCCCACCGCGCCGGGTCTGGGGCTGGGTGCTCTAACAGGATCTCACTTCTTTGTCACGATTAGCACGCATGGTACGTATGTTTATCCCCATTTTATAGACAAGGGAGTAGAGACCAGAGAGGGGAGGTCGCTTGACCCAGCTCACACAGACCCACAGACTATTCTCGTGCTTGCCTGTGCTGCTTCGAAACACAAGGATCCCAACAGTGCCCGGGAATCCTGGGTTCTAGTCCCAGCTCTGCTAACTTGACGTGAGCCTTGGGCGAGTCCTTCTCCTCTCGGGCCTCTATTTCTCCAATTGCCAAATGTGACTGAGAGGGGTGGCAGATGATAGGAATGGTGTCACCCTCAAGGGGGTATTCTTTGTCCTTTTGTTGCTCAGATTCTCTGGGCCGAGCTGTGCGGGCAGAGTGGGGGCTGCCGGCTTGGGGAGGGTCGGATGCTATGGGGGTGCGCACGGGGAAGGCAGGGCTGGAGCTCGTGGGCTCAGTCTCTTCTTCAATGGCGACGCCAAAGCTCCCTACATTGCATCAAAAATTTTTTTTTGGTGGCACCATGTGACAAAGTCAGCCCCTTGTTACAACCGCTGCTCTTCTTCAGAACTTAATTAGAGCACTTAATTAGAGCACTCTGCCTTTCTCCCCTCTCTCTAATTAACATGCGGAGGCCCTGCAGCCTAAACACCCCAAATAATTGCGACCGGGGCCCTGCAGCCCAGCCTGGCCTCATTACTGGCAGGGTGGGGCCGTGGGCCCAGCCGCCTTCGCAGATGGAAAATTGGTGACAAGAAAGAGCCACAGAAAGAGGGCTGACCCTGGGGCCCTGCCTATTGAGAGCGCAGGCCTGGGGGGCTGGGGGGAGACGCAGCTCCCCGGAGCAGCAGCTGAATCCCAGTGGAGGAGCCGGGGTGGGGGGAAGGGCAGGGCTGGATTATGGAGTCCAGAGCCCTCCCCAGAGACCAGGGGGATGAGGAGTGAATTATTCAAACGGATGATGATGATGGTGATAATTATCACAGCTACGCTTTCTTGGTAGCCCGATGTATGCCAGGCACTGTGTTAGACGCTGCAGACAACTTCCCGACAGCACTGTGAGGAAGATGCCATCGTCACCATTTTATAGGTGAGGAAACTAAAGGTGGAGAGATGAAGGAACTGGCCCCAAAGCACACAGCGGGCGAGTGGCAGAGCCGAGACAGAATTCCAGGAGTGTCGGCCCCCACAGCCCGTATGCAGGTGCTGGGCTGGTTGCTGGGAGAAGGAGGAGTCTCAAACCGTGCCTGACACACTCTCAGGGAGCTCGTGGCACAGACGTGGGCTCAGACCACCCCACCATGGAAGCAAGATGGTAAGAGACCAGGGAGGGGGAGCCTGGAGTTATGGGGACCCAGAGAGGACTTGGTCGTAGCCCTGGATACAAACCTGAGCCCCATCACTTACTGTCTATAGGGCCCCGGGCAGGTGGCTACACCTCTCTGAGCCTCAGTTTCCTCATCTGTAAAATGGAGGCAATTCCTCTCTATAGGATTGGGGATGAAGTGTGTGAAGGTGCTTAACACAGTATCTGACACAGAATGGGTACTCAGAAATGACGGCTCACTTTCCTCATCTGTAAAACGGGGGTAGTGTGAGTACCCGCTTCCCACCTCGCCCTGAGGATTGCATGGGGTAAAGGCTGAGAGCACCCAGCCTGCTGTCGCCGAGACTGGTGCTCCACGATGGCAGGGATTGGGAGGGTGGGCGGTGACAGGCCTGCCTGTGGGCCCTGAGGGGGAGAGGCGCGGGAACGTGAGGGGGCACCGGGCCCTGCAGCAGAGCCCGAGGGGTCTGGGGGCCACTGACTCACCCCTGACGGAGGATGCACCATCCAGCCCAGCTCCGCCGTCGCGGTGGTGGAGTCCATTAGCGTTTCTGTGGGGAGAGCAGAGAGTCACGGCCCCGCCCTGCCTACCGGGCGCTGTCAATCACTCTGTCCGGCCCTAAGACCCCACCCCACGAGGGCCTTCCTCACAGAGCCCCGCCTACTTCTGCTGCTCCGCCAGTCATCTGTCTCAATTCTTCAGACTGCCCTCCCTTTAGACCCCGCCTCCCCACCCTATAGTCCCGCCCACTCCCACACCTAGCCAACCAACCGGTACCACTCCTCCAGGCCCCGCCCCCAGTGAACTCCAGCCTTTCCATCATGGTCACGCCCCTCCCCCAGCCAAACCTGCCCCTTAACCTAGGAGGGGAGGGGTCTTACATCCAGTAAACCTGGGGTCTACCCGATGGGTTTCAGAGGGTCGACTCTGAGCCCTACATATTTTACATCAAACTTCGGGTATGTTTGCTTTTCAGCTTGTGTCATATTCTGAAAAACTGTCCCAGTTGAGCCCTCTCAGTTACCCCTCTTCTGCCCCCTTCTCCAGGAACCTGGAGTCCTCCATCCTGCCACCATCCCTGGGGACCAGGCCTCAGGGCTCAGCCAACGCATTCCCCGGAATTGGACCCTGGGGTGGAGGGGGATTGAGGGCAAGCACTGTGCTCGGTTGGTGCATGCCCCCGGGGGGGTCCAGGAGACTCAGATCAACCTCTGAACCAGCCAGAGCCCACTTCCCTCATCCCAGCAGCTGGAGGGAAGGAGCCACGAGGCCTCGGGGGAAGGAGACCCCCAGGGCCCTGGAAAGCCCCATTCATCCCAGGTCAGGCTCAGGACCCCTGTCCTCCACCCCTTCCCGGCCATTAGGGTTTCAAAACACTTTTTGAATCCAATTACAATGCATTGAATGGATTTAAATTAAACCTTTTCTGGAATTCATTCAACAAATACATCCTGATGCCCATTATGTACCAGGCATTGTGCTGGGTACCCTGAGAGAGAAAACGGTGAGCAGCAAGCTCCTACTGTGTAGCCGTGCACAGTCTGCCAGTGGGGAGGAGGTGTGAATGCAAATAGCTATGAGAGAGTAGGTAGAGGGACCTAGAAGGTCACGGTGGGAACTTCCATACCACTCCACTCAGTGAGAATGGATGAGAGGCAAGCTTGCTGCTATGCTCCAGTTCTGTGCCCAGGGCAGGCATCACTAATCGATCCCAACGCTCTGCAGCCACACAAGGCTTCTCACCACAGCGTTCCAGGAAACGAATACCGACCATTTGAGATGCCGCCCTGGTCCAGCCCTACTGCCTCATTTTGGAGACAGGGTAACTGAAGCACAGGAAGGGGAAGGGACTTTCTAAAGATCACATAGGAGTGGGGAGGGCAGGTAGGTCCTGTCTCCTACCCTATAAACTTCTAGGCACTTCAAACAAGTAGTTTGATGGTCTGGGCTGGATGAACCAGGGCCAGGGGATTGGGGGCAGCGTATTCAGTGTCCAGGCCACTGAGAAGGTTCAAATAGTACGTAATGAGGGCTTGAAGTATGTTGGGGGTGGTGGGGATGGAGAGTGGGGTCGGGGGGAAGCATTTGGATAGGGGTGACCCCGGTGAGACCCAGGAGCTGACAAGAGAGGGTGCAGAAGCATCTCCACGACCGCCTGAGGCTTGTGTTTGTGGTCACGGTGTCCCTTTGCACTGGGGGCCGGTGCCGGGAGGGAATGTGGGGTGGGGTGCCAGGGACGGTGGGGCCAGTGCCAAGGGCATCTTTTTGATGGCAAATTGGAGGGAAGTTCTATTATGCTGCTTTGGAGCTGAAAAAGGGTTCCTTTTCACACTCCGAATGCTACAGATTTTTCTTCCTGGAGAGAACAAGGGCTGAACTTTTAACCTGTTTTCTCTCATCGGCCTCAGCCAGAGACGCGCCAAGCCGGGCTCTCTGCCTGGGCCAGAGGAACAGCTGCTGGGAGCTGTGTCGAACAAGGGAGAGGAGAGGCTCCGCTTGGGACCAGAAAGGGGTCGGGCGGGGGAGGCCAGCCCGCCAGGCAGGTGGCCCCACCTCTTGGCTGGATTTCTGGGCTGACCCGGAGGCTAAGCACTAGAGGATTCCACAGCCTGGAGAAGGAGGGGCTGGGAACTGACATCCTCACTGTATGATGGAAACTCAGGTCCAGGGAGGGCAAATGACTTGCCAAAAGTCACACGCTAAAAGCTGAGGCTCAGACCCTGGGCTCCCAAGAAGCTCAGGCCTGGGGGCTCCACTGCCCCCCTGTGCCTTCCACCACTCCTGGCCCAAAATGTGCTGGGGGGGCAATCTCAGCAGGATGGGAAGTAAATGGGCCAGCTGTCTCACAGACAGAAAGGGACTAAGAGGGAGTGGGAGGTTTGCAGAGTCCCTGGGGAGCAGGTGGGATGGCAGGTACCATCTCCTGTGCCAGTCCTGGCTTTGCCTGGAAGCCTGGCTCTGTGAAAGCTGTCACCCCTCTGGGCTGGCAGGAGGCAGCACATGGGTGCTGCTCCCCCCTCGACTTCCCCTTGGCTTTTTGCTTTTCAATTTTTTTTGTGTGTGCATGTGGAGATAAGGTCTTGCTATGTTACCCAGGCTGGTCTCTAATTCCTGGCCTCAAGCAGTCCTCCCACCTCAGCCTCCCAAAGTGCTGGGATTACAGGTGTGAGCCACAGTACCCAGCCCTGGTTTTCAATGTTGACACCTCTCTCTACCTCTGCACGAAAGGCAGGTAAGCAGAGCAGAGAGACCTGGGGTCTGGAGGTCAGGGAGAACTGGATTCTATTAATAATACTGGTTCTGTCACTTCCTCGCCTGGTAACTGTGGACCTTCCTAAGCCTCAGTTTCCTCCCCTAGAAAGTGGCCAACATACCTTCCAAATGTGGACATGAGAACTTAAAGAGAGGGGAAATGCATTAGCTGGATGCCTAGCACACGGCAGATGGTCACTAAGTGGCAGGTACTATTTTTAGATGGAGCGCTGTGCTTTTTGGCCAGCCCAGTGACTGCACACACACTTCCTCCTTTGGGCTCATTAGGTAGCCCCTGAAAGGGAAGGCGGATCTAAGAGGCTGCAGCTTAGTCTGCCTGGCTTCCCTCACGCCCCAGACCCGGCCTGCCAACATCTGACAAACATCAGCCTCTCGCTAGATGGCCACAGCCTCCAAGGAGCCCTTCCCCGTCCCTCCGACGCTGCTTTCCTTGGATGCCCCGAGTTTCCTCTTTGTTCCTCTCAAACCAAGCACAAAAGTCAGCCTCCTGGGGAATCTGGTTAATAGTTCTTGCCCTGAACACTGATGGGTTCAGGAAGCCAAACTCTACTTCCACCACAGGACTTCCTTCCTCCTCCCCATCATAGCCCAGACATCTCCTCTCTACTCCCCAAATCCACAAAGGGAGAGAACTCATGTCCACTGAGACCCTGTTAGGAGCCAGAAACTCTCACCAACATTCTCAGAGGAACTTGGTACTGTCCCATTTCACAGATGGGAAAACTGAGGCCTCCAAAGGCTCAGGAACCTGCCTGGGGTCACATATCCATTCCATTTGCAAGCTGCGCTCCAGTTGCTCAGACTGTGCAGTGCTCCGTCTCACCCCTACACTTCTCACATCCTGTTCCTTCTGACCTTCTCCCCTCTACACCTTCTTTGCCTACCCTAATGCTCATCTGTGAAGGCTCAACTCAGGTCACCTCCTCTGGGAAGTCCTCCATAATCCACACCGCCCAGAGCTCTGCATCCACTGGTGTCTCAAGATGCCTCAGCACTTGCAGAGATCCTGGGTGGTGACTGCCCCTGTTTGCTATCCTCTCCCAAAGGCCTGTGGTCCCCTCGATGGTGGGCACGAGGTCCTGGTTCAGGGGCCCCCAACACCCCGCACAGGGCTTGGCACAGAGTAGGCGCCCTCCGCCATCTGCAGGGCTTGATGCATGCCAGTGTTTTGCGCCATCAGGGTTGCCGGGCTCGGGCCCTCAACGCAGACGACATTTACGACTCCAGCCATTTCCGCCCATAGCCTGCACCATTAATTCGTTACTATTCTTCTTCCAATAGACTCTTTTTTTCTTAAGTGCATTTTAAAGAGGAGAAAAGTAATCATTATTATAAATGGAAAACCAATACCGCTTGCCATAAAAAGAAGGAAAATAAACACAGACTGTGACAATTAAGAACGTTCATCTGCAAACTACCAAACATCATTTCACGTCCCGCACTTCGGGGCCGCTGGGCTCCATCGAGCTGCCTCTCCAGTGCTGGAAATGTCCCCATCCCTATCCCCATTGTGACAATGACAATCCCTCATGAAGGGGAAGCTGTTGTCACTGTATACAGATAATTAATCACCACATGCTGTGACAAAGCCCACAACGGGAATGTGCTCGGTGGATTGTGGGTTATAGGAACTGGGTATGGAAGGAGTGGGGGAACATGGCGAATTTAGGGGTGGCCTCCTGGAGGAAGGGACCCTTGAATGGAGGCCTGAAGGGAGTCAGGTGACGCTGAGTGGGAGGGGGTGCTGGGCAGAGGGGGCGGCAGAGGGGAGGGAAGGCAGGGAGGTGAGCTGAGCAGAGGTGGTTTGTGGGAGGCGAGTGGCGGTGAGGGGCCGGGCTGGGAGAGGTGGGAGCTGAGCCCAGAGAGGTTCGAGGGGCTGCCCGGTAAAGGTGGGCCGCTCTCCGCGCTCCTCTGCCGGGAGCCGTCTGCCCCCATCCTAGCCAGCCTTGCTGGTGCCACCTGCCCCCACCCTGCCGACTCTGCCCTCCCACCCCAGCCCTAGTGAAATGTCTAATCCCCCGGCCTTGACTGCACTTAGCGCCCATTTTTATAAAAATCCCAGTGGATAGATGAGGCAAGTGAGGCTGCAGAGATTCTTAGCATCCAGGCAAAAGCTGGCGATGCGGCCACCAGCCCAGAGAGCCGTACTGGGAAAACAGGGATCTGGGCCACGGGAGCAACTTTGGTCCTAGGCCTACTGTGCCCACACCCCCTCTCCTTCCTGGAGACTGCACAGAAGAAAGTAATCAGGAGGCCCCGATTGTACAAGCTGGGGAGGCCCGACGGCCCCTCCGGCTACGTGTGAATGAGCAGTGTGCATTTCAGAAATATTTGAGCTTAAAGGAGAGACACACTGAAGTCGTTAGCGTCAGGCTGATAGG